AAAAAAAAAAAAAAAGAATTATGGACAGGTAAATTTATTACACAAAAAATGACTTCATTCAAAATCACTTAGAACACTTATCTTTCCCAAAACTGTAAAGATTGGCATATTCCATTTTAGTTCACAGTGTAGTTTATATAATGTTTATTTCTCTGTCTCTTTACAGTAAATTGTTGAAGACTGCTTCACAGTTTCCACTTCCTCTGGCTGTTGGTGTGATTGCTTTTGGATCAACACACTTATATAGGGTTCCATGCTTTGTCTTCATTCCTCTTTTACTCCACGCGTTATGCAACTTTATGTGAGATTGGACTTACAGAATGATAAAGATGATTGATGCCTTTAAGGCCAGTAATAAGAGGGAACACAAATTCATCAACATGGACGGCAAGGTCCTTTGGAGAAGACAAGTCTATTTTTACAGTATTGAAAATAGGAAATTAGTTTTGTAATGCTTGAGGAAAGTAGTTGAAGCATGGATTTGTTTTGTGGTGTGGAATCTATGTACTAATCATTTTCAAAAAATTAGTGAAGGGATATATGGTGTCCACTGGTGTTTGAGGACTCCTGTGCATATCAATTAGTCTGCTTCATCAACCATACCAGAGATCCTCTCCTAGAGACATAGTAGATGCAGCATTGTTTGTAATTTCTCCTCAAGTATTCTGCTCGTTTCATCAAACTTTTTCCCGGAAGTGAGTTATTTTGAATTTGCTATGGTTTATATATTGAGAAATGTCTTAAAAATTGATAAAATTTACAACCATTTTGTCTCAAAAGTGAAATAGCCACTCAGAATCTTTGGTCAGTTTTTGGCAGCCGTGATGAATGGAGTAGATCTTTTGTCTTCTTACATCTATGAAAATAGAGCTTTGAATTGTAAGGAGACATGTTTTCTCAGTAACCAATGCAAGACTGATAAATGGAAACATGATTCAAACTTAAAATTTAATAAAATTTTCTTCTTTTCAAATATGAATTTTATTATGTATGTGTAGTGAATATCAGGAGACTATTAAAGAAATCAATTGTTAAATTTAAAGAAAATGCTCATAGATATTTACTTCCTGGCACTGGAACAGTTCAATTCTTCCATCTATACTATTTTATTTAATTCATTGCCCCCATGGTTGCCAAAAGTGCCTCAGGTCATGATGTATTCACTAAATTCCAGTGGTTGGAAACAACTCTAGGTTTGCACCACTTTTGTCTGCTGTGGAAAAAAAAAAAATCAACACGATAGTGTATAGTACCACATTTGATGTATGATATTATACTGTTAATAGAATAACAGTAGACACAGTTACCCCATTAATAGCATAAGTATTAATAGACCACCTGAATAAATTGGATACTTCAGCTACTAGGTTTAACAATGGAATGTTGATATGTCCAGGTGACTTCTGGGATTACTGTTTGACAAATAAAAGAGTAATCTTTCTATTTTATTTCAGATTTCACTTCACTCTTAGCTACAGAAGAGTAGGGAAAAAGTAATGGAACAAAGTAGAAGAGTATACTCTTTGTCTAAGAATAGAGTAAACTCAGGCTGGGATATACCTGGCTCAGAGTCCTTCTTTTAGATATGTATACTGTAAATACCCAAAACTTCTCAAGTAAAGTCCTTAAATCCCAGTGATTCCACGGTTGCACTTGTGAACTTGTATCCTTGTTAGTACCCAGGGATGTCCTAGAGTACCGATTTCTTTTTATCTGCCATTGCATCTGGATTCCATTACAGCCTTGCAGCTGTTACAGCCTGTAACAGTTTACTCCCATTTTACTGCCTGTAGAGCGTTACCTCACTTCTCCTCTCAGTTCTTCCTCGGGTCCTTGCTATTTCTGCATCAGTTGAAGAGGGTCTTGCTATCACCTCTGAGGGTACTAAGTTTGCTTGATTCCATGGTTGTCTTTTCCAGCTTCATGCCTATTGTTCAGTATTCATGTTTTCACTTACTGAGACCATTCAAGGGAACTGATAACCTCATAGTAGAAATGGCAGACATACCAGGCTCTTGTTTCTTTGAGATAAGTAGCAAAAGGGATAAAATACAAAACATTCATGTGTTTCAGCTGAGAGGAAAGAGACAGAATTTATTAGGTTATGCACTCATCCCATGGCATACCATCTATATATTTAAATAGGGACACATCTGCTTATGTTTGGCTATACACATACTTTTGCACATGTGGTATTATTATTTTTTGCTTCTGTTACTATAATATATCTCAAGTTACAGATTAAATATATCATTTAACTATTTCTGAATTTGAACTTAGGTCCATATACAGAAAGAACTTTAGAAAATTTATTAATTTGGATCTTCTCTTCACAGCCATAATCATTATGTGATCCAAAGTCTTCTTGTTTAGTCAGTGCTGCTCATGAATAAAATATAACAAGCTTAAATTTCTCATTTGTGAGTAGTACATTTGCTTTTTAAAGCAGCAGACTGGGCACACTAATTCTCACTAAAATATTTTCATGTGAGCATATTATCACTAAGTCCTAAAGTCTTATTTTGCTAACAAAATACTTCATTTTAAGGACTATAAAAGGATTCTAATTAAACATTTTATAAACAATAATAGGTTGGACCTTTAGCCATTATATACATATATATACAGACAGATATATGTACACTTACATTTTGATGGGATCAAGTCCTGATTTAAGTCAGATAGTTACCAGAGGTGAGAAAGTAGGCTCTGTCTAAAGATTAGTAAAACTGATGTTTCTATCACTTGAGAAAAGGAAAGTCCTTTGCCTTTAAAGCACACACTGTTTCTATCATGCTTACAACCTGTATATTACCTGGCAAAACAGCACAGCCCACTTAGCAATGTTACTAAAAACAAAAGTATTTATTGGCAGTCAGAGATTATCTAATTCAGCAAATTTCTGCATTCCACTGTTATGGCATTTTTATTTAGAAATTGTTGAGTTTTGAGTAAGTATTGTTGCTTATAAAATAATTCCTAGACCTTACTGTTGATAACTAGATCAAATATAGACTGGACAGGAAAAAACACTGAGTACTTTTAGTGTTTCTAAAGTCCTCTGGAGTTATTGCTGTTACAATTTGGAATTGATAATATGATAGAAATTGTTAACACTCTTTTTTCTGAATCTTTTTCATGCCAGAAATTAAACAGCTTCTGTTCTTTCTTAGTTATCACCAGAATGAAAATATTTGAAATGGTGATTCTAAAAAAGCC